TTAAGAAGCAATTTACACACTGGACCCCAGGGGTACTTTGGCAGCAAAACAGTAGAGAGGGACAGAACCCAGATGTCCTGAAAACCTATTCCCAGCTCAAAGCACGCACCCCTTCCTTGAACAATGTTTTGTGTTTTCAGGACATGCAGTATGAGCACACCACACAGGGCAGACACATTTGAGTTTCAGAGCAGGGAGGGTCGCAGGGACTGCTGGAATGGCTCAGCACCCAGAGGGACCCCGGGAGCAATGGTTTTAGGTCACACTAGTGACTGGCTGGCATACATCCACAATTAAAATCTCACTAGACTGGAAATGCCTCACAGACAGAAGTATCAGCAAAACAGAATTTAAAACAAGGCATTTCATTTAACAGACTTCTGCCTGTGTTTCTGAATTAGCAGGTTTCTGTCCTGCTACGTAAGGGTGCACCCATTGTCTCCTGCACAGCACTCAAGGGGAGAGAGGGAAGGTGAATCTGAGAAAAGGTGCAAATGTAACTGATACAGCAAGAGGAGCGAGGATGCAGAGAGAGCGTGAGGAGTACAAAGGACAAACAAACTTCCCACGCACCTGTAACTCAGCTTCTGGGCTTTCCTGTGAACATTTTTCAAGGTCAGGTGTTTGATCACCTCTTTTCCAAGTTTCCAGTCATGCCAACTGAGTGTTTCAGGCACCTCAATGCCCCAGAATATGACTTTCCTCTTCTTTGCCTCTCTTGGAGACACCTTAGGGAGTAGCAGTTTGGGAGGAAGGGAGGAGAAATCACTTAAACAGCCCTTTCTCTACGCTAAGGGTTTCTGACTGGCAACAGACGAGAGGAGCCACCCTGCGGCAAAACTCCAGGAGTATCCAAAAGCCCTGCTCCGGGGTCCTGAGAGGACACCTCCTGGCCACAGCCCAAACAGCAGTTACTAAAAAGTGTGATGAAGGGCGATTTTTATGTTTCTCCTCCCCCTGCCTGCCAGACAATCCACCCAAGTCAGTAGCACTCTTTGCTCCTCCGCTCACCTTCCTGTCATAGGCACTCTTCCAAAAAGAGTCAGAGTTTTGGGGCTCCTCATGCACCTGAGCAAGCATCTGAGAAACAAGAGGGAAAAGTCCTCACACGTGCTGCTCCTGCACCCACAAAGCCTTTGCTGCCAAAAGCCGGGCACTCCCAGCGACCGATGGCCCTGCTCAGGCTGCTGGTGGCGCTGAGCCGCCTCCCCGCCGGGAGCAGCCCCCGCTGTGTCCCACAGCCCCCGCTGTGTCTCCAGCCCCTGTTGTGTCCCCAGCCCCGCTGTGTCCCCAGTGCAGCCCTCTCCAGAGCACGGCTGTCCTTATGGCCTGTGGGTCACAGCCCAGCCCCTGCGGAAGGGCTCTCCCTGGCGCTGGGCAGCATAGCCCTGCCCACTATCGGCCTACAAAGCACCGTACAGCAGAGCTGTGCCCTGCGGCCTGGCCTGGCCCCCCCCGAGCCCCGTGTGGATGAGTGTGGCGGGACCTCGCTCCCCACAGCGAGCGCCTGCCCAGCTCCCTGGGGCACGGCCCGCTCCAGCATGTCCCCGCCTGCCCCCCGTGCGGAGCAGAAGCCGGGGCCCCGAGTCACCACCGCCCCCGGGCCAGGCCGGCTCCCTCGTTCCCAGCCCGGCATCCTAGAGCACCGGGAGCCCGGGGCACCTCGCTGCCAGTGCCGGTGCCGGTGGCGGCCGCTCAGCGCCGTGCGGGCCAGCCCGCGTTGCCATGGAGACCGGACGCGGTTGCAGCGGCTCCCGGAGCGACGACGGCGGCCGGCTCGGGTCAATCCGCGCGGGCAGCGGCGGCCGCCAGAGGGCGACGGAGGGACCTGCAGGGAGGCGGAGATGGACCGGGAGCGGGGCCGGGAGAGGGCGCGGGCAGAGCCCGGGGGGGGGTCCGGAGAGCACCGAGAGGGGAAGGAGGCCGTGAGGGGTTCTCAGGGGTGCAGGGAAGAGACAGAGATATGGGGCAAATAGGACGTTCAGGGGCACAGAGATGGAGGAGGGCGGGTGAAAGAGGGAAGGATGCAGGGGTGCGGGAGAGAGCGTGGGGCGAGGGGTGTTGAGGATGAGTGCGGGGGGAGCGGCAGCATAAAGCTAAGCCAGCAAAGAGGGGCCATGAAGTCTGTGGGTGCATCGGATAGATGAGTGAGGACAGTGTGGGGATTGCAGGGTGGCAAGGGATCACAGGTGCATCAGGATGGAGGGTGCTCTCATAGGGATGGAGTGACACCTTAATGGGGCCAGGTCACCCTAAGCTCCATGGAGCGTTGGTGACACAAGTAACAAGTTGTTATCATTGCCAAAAGTAGTTATGGGGCCAAGACCAGCAAAGGCACAGAGGGTGGGGAGCCCTGGCTGTGTGAGCCCATCAGGTGTCATTCTCATGGGGCACCACCACCACCATCCTAGGGATAGTCCTACATCTTCCCAGTGCCCTGCATGACCCTCAAGGAGACAGGACCTTCATTTTTCCGGTGTGGAGGGACAGATAGTGCCTGCAGGGTGCAGGCACTGCAGGGTGCACAGGCAGCTCTGTGGTGGAGAGTGGGGCTGGCCGCATCAAACCGCACAGGGAGGGTGCCCGGCAGAGGCAGGAAGGAGATGCAGCTTTAATGGCATTTGTCAGTGTTTACAAATGAGTCATCCAGCTAAGCAGCCCGGCTGTAAATCAGCACTCTAACTCTTCCAGCATCAGTTGTGTCCCCTCCTTTGTCCCCCTAGCTCTGGACGAGTGCCTGGCTCCTCCAGAAACAACCTCATAAATAACAGCAACAAAACAAACCCTCCTGCAGCCACGGTGGGCCTGAGTGCAGCAGGCGCGAGATGAACGCCTCCCATCCATCACTTTAATGATTGTACTCTGCAAATTAAACCTGTCATGGCCCATCAAGGTGAACGTTTTAAGCCTGTGACATGCCTTCAGCTCCCCTCCTCCTTCCTGGCACTTTTGTTGCTTTCTTTCTTGCCTTTTATTCTCTGCCTCTACCATTCCTGTCCCCCATTTCAGCCCTGCTCCAGTGTGTGGCACTCCCTGTGGTCTCCTGCTGAGCCAGGTTGCACATCAGGTGATGGATGTCCTTGGCCCTGATGCTCCTGCAGCCACAGGCTGGCAGGTGCCAGCATTTCTGTGCCAAGTCCTGTGTTTTTGCTGGGAGCCGGCACAGCTCTCCTGGAGCAATGGGTCTCTCCTCATCTGTTGTCTCCACACAGCAATGGCAGGGAATTAGGTACCATCCTTTCATGCTTCCCCATCCCTTCCTCCTTTCCTTTATTTCTTCCCCCTACACCACATTTATTTCTCTCTTGCCCCACGTTACACACCCACGGCAGGCTGCTGGCACCTGCTGCTACCCCAGCTCATATCTCCCCCGTTAGAGCAAGGGCTGCAGCCTCCCCAGAACCAGAGATCCCCACGGGGCAATTCCAGGGGTCTGGAGACCTGCGTGTCTTGAGATGGACTGCCAGGGGAGAGGGAACCTGGGCAGTGAGGATGCAACGTGCCCAGGGGGAAAACTGCTGAGCTGCCAGCAGCCACTGTGGGTCACTGTCCCCCCGCACAGGACCGTCATCCGTCCGTCCGTCCGTCTCCATGCTCCTCTCTCCTGTCACCCGCTTCCCCTGCCCACCCTTCTGTCCCAAAACCATCGCATCTGTCTCCCTGCCCAGGGTGCACCCCCCCAGACACCGACAGGCTTTTCCCAGCCCTGCGATGTGTGACAGCCCCGCACCAACGCTTACCTGTCCCTTTGTCACCGACTGACTGCCAGAGACGGCCAGGATTCCACAGGGGCTGCTGTGCTTCAGCAATTCCCACCCCCAGCACAAATCCCGGGGCAGGCAGCCCTCCCTGCACGCTCAGGCAGAGCCGGGGAGAGGAGAGGACAGCTGGGTGTGGGACAGGAGGGGGACATCATGGTCTGTTTGGGAAGGGTCACCCAGCCCGGCCCAGCCTGCTCCACCCCTGCAGCTCCTGGTGCAGTGCAGTGCTGAAGCAGAGCTGCCCCCTCTGCCTCCACGGCCGTCTCAGCACCCCAAGGGGTGACCCAGTAAGGCACAGGAAGCATGGCAGATCTACAGGGCCTTCCAGGACCCTCCAGCACCTGTGAAGACACGGGCCACCTGCTGACTTACAGGGAGTCAGCGCTTAACCCTCGTGTTTCTAGGGAAGTGGTACAGGGTGTCAGTCCCCATTCTGCTGCCAAGGGTTGATTTCAGCCCAGTCAGAGTGAGCAAGATCCCAAAAGCATAATGAGACAAGCCCAGAAAATAACTTAGAGAGGTTAAGCATCACCATGGGGAAAGGGGAGCTGACCATAGCACTGAGTCTTTACAGCCTGAGTTCTTTCCTGCCTCCCTTCCCGCCCGTTTATTTGGGACAATGCCACACCAACGCAAGCAGGCTAATTGCAGCATGGAAAACAGCATCAGCTTTGCTTCCCAGGATGGTTTTGCCCGGCAAAGCACAGACCCTACCAGGGATGTACTGGTGCAGGAGGAGGCAAGGCAGGCAGGCATGCAACCTGGGCATCCTTCCCAGCTCTTCATGCCACCAAGGGGAAGGACAAGCTGATACCACACTGGATGTGCTGCTCCAGGTGCTGTCAGATCTGTAGGGAAGTGGCAGTGCAGTCACAGAAGGGTCTGGGTCTCCCTCTTCAGCTGTGCCAGCAGACTGCCAGCTGTCCAAGTCTGCTCTCCCCACCTTTTTCCCCAGAGACTTGGTAGGACAGCACAGTAGCAGGACAGGGGATTTTCCTGTCCCCTAAGGAAAAGCACAGGCATCCAGATAACAGCTTTATAGGGGCGGGATCTGGGGACTCCTCCAGATACACACAGAGGAATAATTACAAGTTAAATAGGATCCAAACACACATAAGTTAAAGGGTGGCAAGGTGCCCTGCGGCTCCCTGCTCCTTCCAGGCACAGTCTGCGTCTGCCAGCAAAGAGAACCCCCACAACACAGCCTGGCCCCTCTCCCCAGCTGGCTCCATTCGCCTTTCACAACACAGAGCCAATCTTCCTCTCTGTGGCGCCCATCTCGTCCTCCTCCTCTTCCTCGCCCCCCGAGCAAGACGAGTCCTGGCCATAGCTCAGCTCGGCGGCGCTGCAGTGCAGGAAGCCCGAGTCAGGGCTGTGCCCCATGAACTCGGGGCTTTCGGCAGCTTGTCCCTGGGGCTCGCTGGGCAGCAGCTTCTCACAGGTTTTGCTGAGCCCTCGTTGCTTCTCAGGCTCCACCTGAGCCCCCTGCTCCTTGGCCTTGCGGCTCCGCTTCCACTTCATGCGGCGGTTCTGGAACCAGATCTTCACCTGCAAGGGAAAGCCCCAGGGGAGAGGATGTACCCTGCTGTATCCTGTCCCCACTCACCCCCTCACCTTCCCTGCAGGGAGGGTCCCCTCAAAACCTCTTCATTGTGGGGCATCCCATGGTGCTACAGGTATGTACAAAGAGGATGAGGTTGTCACAGGGAGAGGAATAATGAGGGCTGCTGTCTTCCCCCCTTCCAGCCAAGGATATGCACAGGGACATTTTCATATTAGCCCCACAAAAAGACCCCTCCCACAGTTGAAGAATGGGAAGGCTCTGAAACCCAAGTTGGGGGAAGCCAGGTGAAAAGAGGAGCAGTATTTCTGGGGTGCCCTTCACAAGAGAACAGCCTGAAGCCCACCAGGCAGGTCTCTGCAGGAGATGGCCTGAAGAGGCACTGATGGGAGCAGTGGGGTGTGAGGCTGATGCCATTAGCATTGCCCATGACCTTGCCTTGCCCCCATGGCAGCTCCATGGTGCTATGCTCCATCCCCCAGGGCCAAGGTACCTGTGTCTCAGTGAGCATCAGCGACGTGGCCACCTCAAAACGCTTGGGTCTGGACAGATATTTGTTGAGCTTGAACTGGTTCTCCAGCTCCAGGAGCTGCTGGCTGGTGAATGCTGTGCGGGGCCGACGGCACTTCCCCATCAAACCAGACTGCGGGGCAGCTGTGGAGCACACAGTGGGTGGGGGTCAGAGGACAGCAGACTGGTAGGGGGACAACCCCTCAGCAAATCCAGGATGAGGAGGAAGGTGAATGTCTCCATCATCTCCCACCCCAATAATGGCTTTATTGCCTGATAGGAACCAGTGAGATACGTTATCAGGTCTCGGTGTACAACTGGGATCAGTGCTGAGACTGAAATTAATTCTCCTTTTTTTATTGCTGGGCCGCACAGGTGGCAGCTCAACGGCCAGGGGCTGTGCTGGGGCTGCCCGTGAGCGCCGCTATCTCGCCTGCAGCCCTTGAAGGCAGAGCGGCTCTGAACCAGGAGGCAGCAGAACAAAGGCACCTTTGAGAGTCCAGCACGGGGTGGCTGCCGCACTGTTTGATCCTCGCTTATCTTCTCTCCACTGCCTTTATTGTCCCCCTGGGGTTCAGCTTTTACTGCTTCTCCCAGCACCACAGCGGCAATCCCAGGGGTTTGCAGCTGGGAATAAAGTGCTGGAGCAGCAGGGAGGGGCGTGGGGGAGAATGGGGGGAGGTGGTGGTGGTGGGCACTAATGCAAAAGGACCTTGGCACATCCCTGCTGACATATCTTGGGCAACAACATCCTGGAGCATTCTGGCCCCAAAAGTGTGCCATGCTTGGCAAGGGCCACTCACCCACTTTGCTGGGCATGGGGCACCATTCATGTTATCTCCCCCAGATTCCAGCTTTGATCCCAACCTGCCCATCTCCCGAGGTGTCCACCAAGCCCTTCACAAACACAGCAATGACGCATGGGGCAGGAATTTATGAAAGAGCTATTAACTGATCACAACACAGGTTTGATCTCAAGTACCTGGATGCTGGGTCAAACAGATAGAATGCAGGCTGGGCTAGGGCTGTGCAAATGCCTCATGGGAGCAGGACAGACATAACCCCTTCTTCTGCCTGTAGCCCCTCAGTGCCAGGACAGACAGTCTGTGGGACCCACCTTGTAGCCACTGGCCAGTTAAACGAGGGACTGACTGAATAGAGGCACACTGTGCCAATGATTCTGACACACATGATGCATTATTTTGCATATGAAACATATTCAAGGCTAAAACTGAATGAGAGGTTCAAAAGATTTCCAGGACAAACAGAGATGAGAGATGTCACAGCTCTGCAGAGTTCAGCAGCCATCTGGGCTCTGACTGGCTGTGGATGCTCAGGCTGTACAAATCCTCCAAGGGAAACATGGGACCAAAGAGGTCTGCAAAGGTTTCCTCTGGCTAAGAGAAAAGGAGGTGTTATGGGAACTAGCATCTGCAGGGATGGGGCAGCCCAAGCCAACGCCCTTTGCAGCTCCTCAGGAAGGGAAAACCCAGAGATGCATCAGAGACAACTGGAGGGGAAATTCATTCTGTTGGTGGGGGCACAACACGAAGCAGCCCCAGGCAGTGTCCAGCAGCCCAAGGACTCTGGGTCCCTGTGAGACTCCTTTGCTGACAGAGACAGGAGGGTGGCTGGAGCATCTGGAGCCCCAGAATCCCTCCCTGCAATGAGGCTGCACTGTGCAGTTTGGCTGTACCAGGTCAGGGAAGGGCCCCTCTGAGCAATTCCTCTTTCTGAGCATGTTGTCTAAAGAAATGTTTTGGGGAAAGAGAAGGGAAGAGGTTGTGCCCTCTCAGCATCCAATAATCCAGGAGTTCTGTGCTTTCTGGAGCTGGAGGGTCCAGGAGTGAAGAGATATCATATTCCCAGTCTGAATTCCCCACTCCAAAGCAGAGAGCCCAGGGCTCAGCTCCGAGGGCATTGTGTCCTGGCTCCACGGAGCACAGAAATCCTTCAGATCAACCTGAAAGGCTCCTCTGTGCCTCCTCAAGCAAGGTCATATGTGACCAGACTAAAACCAGATGCAGGAAGAGTAGAGGCACAGAAGTGCCTCACAGAAGAATCTCAATCCTAAAAGCTATTCAAGTTTGGTCTGTCCAGCTTCACAGGAGCCTGGAAGGCAGCCTGCTTTGACAACAACCATCTCAAGACACTCACCTTTCCCCAGGTGAGCTGCTGAGGACTGCTTGGTCTAGCAGGGAAAATAAGAACAGAAAGTTTGTCCAAAAGTCAAATAAATCCAAACAGGATATATCCCAAATAACTACCAATCCAGGGGACTGATTTCTGGAGCATGGCCCTGCTGCCAGCCCTGATTTCTCCTTCTCAGTGTCCAATTCAGTTTCAGGGCAGTGTGCCCATTACAAATATTGTACAGAGCCCGACTTCCTTGGAAATTCATCTTGCCTCCTGCCCCAGTGCTGACAAAAAAAAACCCCAAACCCAATCCTCAAACCCCTCTGTGGTGCTGTCATACAGTTTGAGCCAGCACCACTCCAGTGCCCAGCCCACAGAGTGTGGCTGGCCACCTCACCTGTGACCTCCTCTGACAACACACCCTCCAGCAGCTACAATCATCCACCACCACTGCTCCCCACTGGGACTTGTTCAAGGTTTGGCCTCCACACCAGGTTGAGAAAGCCCAAGGCAATACAGCTGATCTGCAGCCACCCATGGCAGCAGGTTTTCACGGACATGAATGATCAACATCTCTGGCATCAGCTCTGCTGTTACCTTTCCTAAAGGGTTCTAGCTCTTTTGTGTGAAGAGAGTATGGCAGAAGAGGATCTGCAGATTCTCACTGGGAAAAGAAACGAGGAAGGAGGTAGAAGCTGAGACTGCCAGCGTGCCCTGCTGAGTCCCACCCCTCCCTGTCCTGTGGCAGGGTGCCACATGGACAAAGAATCCTCCCAAGGGGTGCACAGCACCTCCCAGGGCCTATCTTCTCCACTCAACAAGCTATGAACCCATCCCCATCGCAATCAGCATCTCACAAAGTATTACCGTTTGGGAAGGCTCTCCATCTTACCCAGCTCCTACCAGAAGACCAGGGACTGCCCCAGTGTCACACCTTTGCTTGCCAAAGGATTTATTTTCTGCTCAGCCATCTCCTGCAGCACTCCATCCAGGATCAGAGCTTGTCTCAACATCCCTTCAGCCTGGCAGGGCTTGGACCCCCTGAAGGGTGCCTGGCATCTGGCTGCAGTATCAGTAAATAAACTGCTTGGCCTGGGGCCAGGAATGCCCTCTGAGTCTGAGGCCAGGAGCTCTGCAAGGCAGCTGCCTCCTGGATAATTAGATAAAGCTTATAAAGAATTGTTGGTTTATTTGATACAGTTCCGCCTACTTGATAACAGGGGTAATCCTAGGTTGATATTAACTCACTTGTTTTTAATTTGGTTTGTTTAACTATAGTTCACTTCACTTTGTGGTCTGGCAGATAAAGGAGAGGAAATTAACACTCTGACTGCTTTAGGTATTTCTCTGGATGTCAGAGCTGGAAGGGAGGGAGGTAGTCTCAGCATCAGGGTCATCACCAGAGGCTTTTTCTGACCTGCCAGCAGCCCCGGCCATTATCAGTGGGGCAGCATGTGTAAGGGCACCTGCTACCTCTGCAAGCCCCTTGCTTGCTCCACCATTAAACCTCAATTGCTGCATGCCAGCTGTTTCCCAGCCATGTTCCCAGCTGACACCAGACCACTGTACACCTGGTGAGCCTTGGAAGGCATTGCTTTTTGAACAAGTTTGATAAAACTTATCCTGCCTGCTCTCCTATCCCAGCACAGCCCATCAGCAAGCTCTCGGCCATCGTGGGCAGAATCTGATCTGGGCTCCAGGCCATCAGCTTAGTGAGTGGGTGATGCAAGGCAGTGGTGTGCCAGGAAAGCCATCTAAGCACCGGCTCCCTCGGAGAGGATCCTCTGCTCCTCCTGAGAGCCCACAGCTGTATGTCACTGCTCCCCACTTGCACAGCTCTCAGCTGCAGTGGGTCTCTGCACTGGCTCCCACCACTGCACCACGTTTCCACACTGACAAACAGGGAAAATAAATCACAGCTCCCAGAAAAACTAATAGGCCTGGCATTCCAGTGCCAAATGCTACCCTGGGTTCTTCAGGAGGTGCTCAAAGGCCAGGATAGGGATCCAGGCTGGGGATGGCAGAACCTGGGCAGGCAGCATCCCTGTTTCCTGCAGCAAGGGCATGCCTGCTCCCGCAGCCAGGCCCTGCAGAGCCCTGTGAGTGCGCATTGCAGCAGAGGCAGGCAGGCACCGCGTGCGGCTCTGCACAGACACCCTGCCTACAGCAGGGCACTGCTCTCACTGAGCACAGCACCCCGGCCCTGGGGGTACCAGCTGTCCCAGACAGCCTCCCTGGCAGCCCCACACACAGGTGGATAGCAGGGGGAATGTGTGCAATGAACACCCACAGACCACGCTTGCAAAACATTGCTACACATGCACCCAAAGAAGGAATTTATTCCAGAATTTACTTCTGGAATTCCCTTTAAATAAATCCCAAGGGCGATCACCCCCTGGAATGATCCATAATATGTCCTAGAAGGCTTTCAGATTCATCTCTTACAGCCATCTGTCCACTGGTCCTGGGAGAGTTAAACATGAGTGACACCAGCAGCCTTGACACTTGTACTTGGTCACTCTGGAAACTTCAGCCAGGCAGGTCCATCCTTCTGTCTGTCTAGGCTGGGTGATGGGACAGGGGCTCCCACAAACTAGAGGCAGCCCAGGAGCCCTGTGCCAACAATGGAAGGAGGCTCCTGCCCAGCCCATTCCCCTCCTCAGAGAGGTGAGGAAGGGCTGTGGAGGCAGCACCTCCCAGGCAGGTGCCCTTTTCTGTCTCTGTCCCTACAGCATGGCCAGCACATCAGGGCAATCTGAGCCCAGGCACAGGCACAGCCTGCAGCCAGTCCTGCGAGGTACAAGGAGAAGGCAAGCTGCAAATGACCTGATTTCAGACCTTCAGTGAGCCCACAGGAACAAGGGCTGAAGACACCCTTGAGAACCCTGAGGTTACCAAGGGACAGAAACAAGGATGTGAAGATGGATAAGGTTCTCTTCTGCACAGCAGAATTGCTGAAGTATTTGACAAGACACTCTGGAGAGAAAGAATCCCCACTGCAAAGGGCTCCCCAGGACTGGGAACAAACATCTTTTAGTAAGGACATGGATTGAGGCAGTGGTCATCCTGATTTAAAAATTTACAGTTTTGGCAGCTTTTGCTGCATCCTTGTTATACCTCAACATGTCTACTCTGCTTTGGGATCTCCAGAACCCAGATAAGTAACACTTGGGTCAAAAACTGCTTTTCTTCCTGCTGAACTTCCCTAGGAACCCTGCCCAATGTTTCCCACAAGACCCTTTGACATTTTGGTCCAGCACATTCTGCAGAGCTCCCTTCACAAGTTGTTCTCATGCCAGCAGTTTGGGATTTGTTTCCTTTTGGTGAGGTTTTGAATATAACCAGCTGAAGATCGCATGCTGCTTTTGAAAAGAATGGGGCAGATGTACAAATATCTCTATATTATCCCTGCCAGAAGCTGCACTCTGGGCTACAGAATCAGATGCAGTGTAGCATTCCCACCGTGGTGAAACACAGCCCTGTAGGAAGCTACCAGGATGCTGAAATACACCAACAGACCCAGACCCTTCAAAGATAACATGGCTTCTGCAGAAATGCAGGAAGATGTAATAAATAATAAAGACTTCTAACCAATCAGGATTTATTTTTTCTTGTCTTAGTGACATCTGTGAAGACTGCACATAACCCACAGCACTGGAGGCTTATCCTACACCTCTAGATTCACAGATGGAGCTTTCCTAAAATCTAGGGAAAGCCAGGTAAAGGGAGATATTGTGGGGAAAAAACCAGCCTGTTTCCCTTTAACCTGACCAGGAATAGTTTGAGGTAGGAGTAATACGTGTGATTTTTCAAGTAATTCTCTGTAAATTTTTGCACTGTTATTTACCCAGCCTTTTAAAATTATTATTATTTTGCAAATGGGCCTTCCAGATTTTTAGGAATTTTTTTTACCCTCAGCTAACAAATCTGGATACTCTGACAGGGCTTTATTACCCAGCCACGCTTGGTTCAACGCCCATCTTTTCACTGACCAGCACAGGGCAGGGTCCAGGCTGGGGTGCCAGACCTCAACGGGACCAGTGCCTGAAGTCAGCTCTTGTTCCGTCCGTGCCCTGCAGGGCCCATGGCAGCCGTGCGGGGTCCGGTGCGGGCCCGCAGCCCAGGTGGTGCCCACCAGGAGGGACGGGGCTCGGCTGTCGGCCCGCCCGGGTCCCGCGGCTGCCGCCAGGAACGAGCTCACCGGGCGCTCATCGCACGGGGCGAGCGGGACCCGGAGCGCCGGCCCGGCCCTGCACGGAGCCCGATCCGGCCGCGCATCCAGCGGGACTGGGGCGGGTTCGTTCCCAGCCACGCCGGGAAGGATTTATTCGTTTCCCGGTGCAGGTTTTTGCCGCCGTTTCTTTCTTTTCGTTTCCTTCCCGCCCCGCAGGAGCCCGCGGGGCCGGCAGCCTGGCTAGGCGCGGTCCGGCTCTGCCGCCGCGGGCAGCGTTTCTCGGGGCTCTGCCGGAACACCGGGCCGGCGTAAGGCGAGACTTTGCCCTTCGGATCTGTTCCCCAGGGCCTCACAGTCCTCGGAGGTCTCCAGCAGTGGGACACCCCGCCTCCCCACCCCATCCCTGCCGGGTGTGGGTACAGAGAGAGCCGCGCATCGGGGTCAGCGCGGAGGGCTCAATGTCTCTGTGGGCTCCCGACCCGGACCCACCGGAGGGCCTCGAAAGGTTGGGGTCGGGAACCCTCAGTCCCGGGCCGTCGGAGGGACCGGCACCTGATGTGCCGGCGGACGCCCCCGGGGCTGAAGGGCCCAGAGCCGCGTTCGGCCGGACGGGAGGGTCGGTCCCCGGGTCACTCACTCACCATTGAAGTCGGAGAGCCTCGGCACCAGCATCCCGGCTCGGATCCAGTGCTCCAGCGGGAAGGAGCCGGCCACGGCCGCCTTCAGGTGCTCCGCGCCGGGCGGCGGCAGGTGCGGGATGCCGGTGTAGGCGAACGCGGGGTGCTGGCCCCCCAGGGTCGGGAGCGGGTACACGGCGGGGGGGTACAGGGCCGGCAGGGCGCCGAGCCCCGCGCCAGAGAGGTGCAGCAAGCCGGGCTTGGGGACGAAGCCGGCCGGGGCGAGGGGCGCAGCGGCCGGGGGTGCCCGCGGTGAGGGGGTGTCGGAGCGCCCGGCGGGACCGGGGCTCGACGCGGGGCTCCCGGGGCTCAGCCCCGGCGGGGAGGCGCTCCGCGCCGGCTCTTCGGCCAGGAGCGCTTCGATGCGGAAGTTTTGGGACTTCTCCATGGGCTTGTGCATGGCCGTGCCCCGTGCGGAGCCGTCGAGCCCTCCGGCGCCCCACCGCTCCCCTGGCAGGGCACAGCCCGGCCGGCCAGCCCCGGGCGAGCCCCGGCAGCGGCGGGCATCCACCCGCGGGGCCGCGCCGCGCTCAGCGGGGCTGCCCTCGAGGGCAGCCCTCCTTTCCGCTCCGCCTCCCGGGCACTCGCTCGCCCGACGGCACCGGGGTGGGTTTTAACCCCCTCTCCACCTACCCCAGCTCCCCATTGGCTCCGCTCCGGCCCCCCGCCCTCCCCACCGGCCGCCCTCCTCCGGCTTCCGCAGCAGTGGGCAAACGCCAGGGACTGACCGGGGCCACTCTGTCCCTTCCCCAGCCCCTCCACAGCCAGAGATCCCCCAGCCGCCAGGACCCACCCAGGGCGCTGAGCCCATCATCCTGACCCTGAGCCCCATGGCAGGGAAGCGGCTCTATGGTTGCAGCAACTGGAGGAGACATGGAGAGATGAGACAGACTTCAGCCATGTAGGCAAAGCCCTGCTGGGCTCCAGTGCTGCCCTGGCACCGTGGAGCCCCCAGGCACCTGGAGGGCAGAGTGCTTAGCTGGGAGGGCAGGAGAGGCTCTCACTCACCAGCAGGCTCCCCTGCATCCCGTGCACTGAGATCACCACCTGTGCCCAGCTGTGCTGTTTCCCATGGCATTGCTGTGATCCAGGGAGATCAAGAGACCTGAGCTGGGCACACAAAGGACCACCACCCTCCATCACCCATGTCTGTCCAAGATGCAACCCAGCAGGTGCATACAGGCAGATTGTTACTCATTTGCCTGGTCTTACCTTTCCTAGGTAAGACGCAGCTTGGAGAATAGCACCTGGGAAGGATAGAGAGGAAAGCTTTGGCTGGTCTGGGAATGGTGGGTAAGCAGGAGCAGAGCTGGTCCAGATCCCCTGGCACTGGCCTTCAGGGAGAGGCAAAGTGCATGTGTGGAATGTGCTTTTAGGAATCTCTGTCATTAAGGATCTGCTCCTGTTTGTCTCTGGTTCCCACTTTTTTCTGTCCTTCTGACACAGTGACACAAGCCTCTGATTTTTTTTGTGCCCTGTAGTGGGTCCTGTTCTTAGGAAGGGAAGTAAGGCAGCTGCTATTGCCCTGCCTAAATGTAATAATGGCTAAAGAAAATCCCCCCCACTCCATCCCCCTCTGCTTTCCCAGGACACAAGCCAATGTCCCCACAAGCAAAAGGACACCAAGCACTTTCTCCCTCCCCCCAAGGCAAGTGCCAGCACAGCCAAGCAGCAGGCATAGACAGGACAAGATCTGGGGAGGAACAGAGCAGACTGACTCCCAAGCACAGGGGGAAACAACAAGAGATATCCAGGGAACAGAGAGCACAGTGAAGGTAGGACAAGTGTTCCACTGCAGATCAATAGCCTGCATGGGAAGGGAGAGCCATCCCTTCCTCACCTGAGCCCTCAGGACTGACTTCAAGGATTGCAATGCTTTGTTAGCTCTGTACAGGGAATGTGCCTTGAGATCTGGAGCAGAGACTGGGTCACAACAGAGAAATCAGTGCCTCAATCATCCCCATGGGGTAACAGACAGGCAGGTAGGCAGCCCAGGAAAGCCCCGTGACTCTACCCAGTGTGCAGTTCAGGCAGTGGGAGCAGGGCTTGAATGAGGGGTCTGGGTAATATCTCTTACTCACAGCCTCATGGAAGTCCCCTACACTACCCAAGGAGGTTTTCCAAAGACAAGCAACTCTCCCAAGGATCAGCAGCTCATGCTAGTGCCCAATTCACTGATGCCAGGGTGATGCAAGTGCAACCAGCCAAGCTGCAGCCTTTGAATTGCCCAAGCAAGAAATCTTTGCTGACAGAACCATAGAACCTGGCTTATTTCTTTATTTGGAAATACCTGAATAAAGAAATCTAGAGAAATCATGGAGGGATGATGAGTGTCAATATTTGGAACAGAGCCTGAGACCCTGTACGAGGGTTGTCCAGGACCACAGCAGCTGGCACACAGCCCATGCCACGCAGGGCAGTGAGATGGTGTCCACAGTTGTGTGCAGAGGAGCTGGGCTGGGTGGACAGCAGAAGGGGCAGGATGCAAGGCAGTGATAGATGCCAGGGTGCTGATGAGTTCACAGTCTTCAGGGTCATTAATCAGATCAGAGCTGGATTAAGGTGTCTGAGGTCTGATTAGCTTCATTTCCCGCCTCAGGAAGGAGGGAACTCTCTTTCCCATCCATCAAATCCTCCAGTGACAGCTCACCTGGTTGCTAACTAAATCAGAGGATTGTAATAAGTGAATGTGACTGTGGCCTGGCCCCTCACCTCTGCCCAGCATCCTTCCTGCACAGGAGGGTGTAAAGCAACCCTGCACATCAGCCACAGGTGGCAGACCCCAAGATACCAGCCAGAGAAGGATCTCCAGTTTGTGGGTTCAGGGCCCTGTGGACAGAAGCTCTCCCAGGAAACCACCCCAGTTCAGGATGAGGTGGGGTTCGAGGGGATATGTTCCCAGTCAGCACCATCTTGCTCCCAGTCCCCCCACAGCTCCTGTGTGCTAAAACCTACCCCATCAGCATCTCCATTTGTCCCCTGCCTGATGCACCTCGTGTTCAGTGTGCCCTAAAGGTACCTCCACTTTTAACCACTTAGACTATTTCTGTCCAGAAAGTGCAGACCAGCAGGAGGTCCATGCTGCCCAGGCAGCAGTACGGTTCCTCAGCTCCCTCACCTCTCTGGGGCAGACCCTGATCATAGCATCCCATGCTGGGCAACGAGCATCACCAGGAGTGTTCACACAGCCCAGAGCTTCCTGAGATTCTTTCATTTGCCTAGGTAACTTGGGGGGAATTTTCTGGATGTGCCTCAGCTGGACATTGAGAGCTTAGTCCCCCTTCAGTGACCTGAAAGCAGCACTCACAGCAGCACCCCTGCAGGTATAGATGAACCCTGCAAAGCCTTTTACTGCTGATGGGAAGGTACACAGCTAGACACCTGGAGCTCTTACTGTGTCCATAGCCTCCAGTGAATGGACTCCATTGTGACTCCCACCCATGTAAGGTCAAGCACCAGAAATAAAACTGGAAGGACAAACCTCCACACAGCCACCAAAGACACCCAGCTCTGGTGTTCACAAGTTTTCAGCAGCTCTAGAGTCCCACAACACTACCAGCAGCACTTCACATACTTCCCCAATTTGTTGCCAGCAGTACCTGAGCCCTCAGAAACAAGCCATGGAGATCACAGGTAATATTTGGGACCACAGTTCAGTTTTACAGCCCCACTACTTCCTCAGTATCACCTTGGGAAGCAACGTAATGTCCCTCAGCAAATCCAACTGCCCCAAGATCAAAGCCAAGGGTGCCGAGGAAAATCCATACCCTGATAAAAAAATTCCCAACTGGGACCAGGCTCCCATTTTCCCAGGATCGAGTCTTCATCCCAGACACAATATATGACATGACCCATGCTGGGGTGTCTTGATTTTCACCCAACCTTTCATTTTGGGCTGTCCTAGATTGACAATTTAGCACCAGGTCCTCCTGCCAGCTTTGGGTCACCTCCTGCCTTGAGTCAATAGAAATTACCTTTGACACAGAGACTGTGCAGGAATCAGGGCTTAGCCCATCCCAGAGAGATGACAGAAACCCTGATTTCTAACCAGGCCATTTAGGCTTTCAGGTGTTGAAAGAGCTCCCCGTCTGTCTCCAGGATGGCTGTACCTGTTTGCTAAGCATTAACTACTCACCAGGTCACAGCCCCAAGAGCGTTCCACCTTTAGAAATGAATTCTCAGGAAGAAACCCACGGTGTGTCAGCCTTGTTTAAAGCATCTCTGAGGAAGCAGAGATCTCGCTGCTTTGGACCTGGTGCCTCAGGTCATCTTGTGCCATTCCAAAGTCTGTAGCCAGCTAGTGGAGAAATACAGCCTGGAGTCACCACTAATACTGGAGACAGGATGTAAGCCTGCTCAGAAGTGTTTTTCTAGCTCTTCCCCCACAAGAGAGGCTGTAGCAGCACCCCACTCTCATCCCCGAGCAGGCAGAGCCCCAGTAAGAAGTGCTAGGAGCAAGAGCCCCTTTTAGGGGTGTCCCAGGTTTTGTGGGAGCCCTGGCCATTGCCCACAGCAGGACATTGCCTTTGCCCTGCCCCTTACAGCCAGGCCACCCGCTATCTCCAGAGTCTGGGAAGCCACAGGAGGCTGGTGGGGAAGGTAAATAAACTGCCAGCCCAGCCATGATTTGTGGCTAAATGAACAGTCTAAGTCACCTGTGAGTGGCTTGGGGCCATTAACCAACCAGATAATAGGTCTTAATCAGCCGTGCAGTGGTGGGAGCTGAGTGTACCTTGTGTCAGAGCTGGCACAGCCAGGTCTGAGGTCCCAGCTTGCTTGGGGGCTGTCCCCTCTGCAGAAACACTGCTAGGGGCATCCACACCGCTGCCATGGGAGCAGAGCAGAAATGCTCTCACAGCATTCTCACAGGGCTTCTCATCTGTCTTTAGGGGACTTCCCCTGCTCTGATGGTGACAGAGGACAAGTCAGTGAAGCCACCTCCCTCCCTGCTTCCAAGGTCTTGTGCTCAGTCACTGCCATCCTCTGGCCCTGCCTGGATCCCTCTCACATGGACTGGCCTAATCCTACCCACCTCAGAGACTTCCAAGCCAGCCACAGGCTCCTGAGGGTTTCTTCATCCTGCTACATTAGCTGCTCAGTCCAACAGGTGGGGATCTGTCCTGGAATGCAGAAATCCCCGTGCTTCCATGCCTCTGTCCCCATACCCAACACCCACCCTCCCTCCACAGGGAGCCCCAGGTACCAGCCCCCAGTGAAGGGTTGACAGGGAAAGCAAACACGGCTCAGTCCCTCCCAGACAGGCCTCCTGCAGGGATCTCTGGGCAGCTGTTTATTTAGCCAAGCAATTCCTCAAATAAGCAGCCTCATCCCTGATGGGACATGGCAAGGCTGAGCAGAAAAATGTGTTAAGAGCTCCCGCTCTGGAGCAGGGAATAGCAA